ATACAAAACAATAGATACTCCGAAAATTGAAAGCATTTTGAAAAATTTATTTCGACGTTTCGACTAAACTATAGTCATCATCAGGAAATGAATGATGATGATATTACATATGTACAAGTATATATAGTGAAGTAACAAGACACGATTAGTTAAATATTAACAGATCTTTAGAGGCTTTAGTTCCATGGTTTAGGGACGGTTTCATTCTATTAATAGCAATAGACTCTTGATAAAGTATCAACGACCAGTGATTGGATTTATCTATTATCTTAGTGTTAGTAAATATTAAATCTGTTACTAAACATTTAATGTTATTAACTTCGTCATTAGGTGTTAGTTCGAGTAGGTTTTTTACAAAATTGAATTCATTACAGTTAGTAATATGGTTATATATTTCAGAAGAGTCAAGAGAAGAATGCTCTTTAATACGGGTATAAACTGTAGGCAGCGATCAGTTTTTCCTACGTATAGTTAGCATTACATCAGGGCATTTGAATTCATACACAACGGAGCTTTGATACGTTTTTTGTGTTGTTTAATTTTTGGAGTATCTATTGTTTTGTATTTTATTAAAATACTCAGTGGTTCCCGTAATTTATAATGATATATAATTTCATTTATTTTAATAATTTGATGATATTATCATCAGTTCATATTAGACTCGATTTGTGAAAAGAATATGGATTTTTGTTTTTGTCAATATTGCACAATGGCATGATGATGTAGACTACCTGATTTAAATCAAGACCTGACATCTACTCTGGGGATTACTTCCACAACCGTTTGCATGGTGTATAACATATTCGAACAATTGTAAGTTAACATACTTTCCTGCAACATAATAATTGATCATATCATCACCCTCTTTACATATCAGTGGTGTGTATGGTCTAAAACAAAACATGTATACTTGTAATTGTATGTGTCTTGTTCACCATAAATAAACTTTAAAATTGGTAATGAAAAAAATAGAGCCCTAGCAGTAATGAGTACTGTACCTCATATAAGGGTCAATGCTCAATGACTGAACTTCAACCAACACCTCTACAAAACACAAATTGAACTTGGTCAGGGTTCGAGATTTGCAGTATCCTATAGTACCCTGACGATACCTGTTTTGAATTTTGGATACCATGAGATGCGGTGTTGATTCGCGTTCTGACATTGTAGTATATAGGCCCTACATTATATAGTTATATGTCTCTGTCATAAGTGATTATAGGTACTGTATAATGGGAAAACCTCTCACATTTCAGTGATTAAGAAATGCTGTTATCCACAATTGATTCCAGAAAAAAATCTAATCTCAAACTCTGGATTTAGTAGTCCATGGCATATGGACCACCAAATGGCCTGGTCTGTGGATCTCCTAAGTTGTGACAATAAACTACTGTATACTGGGCAGTCGTGGATTGAGCGGAGAGATACAACTACCTGAAAAATACAAGCACATTAATGTCGACGTTTCGAGCAAAGGCCCTTCGTTGGGAAGTTACTGACGAAAGACTTTCGCTCAAAACGTCAAACCCCCCAAGTTTGAGATTAATAAACTATAATGGATAGCAGTGGCGTAGCAAACTCGATAATTGGGGGGGGGGGGAGAAGTATTCATATATTCGTGTTCACAAACCTTAAAAACAATTG